TCCAGATTCAGATGTAATTATGTCACTCATTCAAATACAGTCCAGATGCGATCCAGATTCAGATGTCATTCTATCACTCATTCAAATACAGTCCAGATACGATCCAGATTCGAATGTCATTTTGTCACTCATTCAAATACAATCCATATACGGTTCAGATTTGGATGTAATTCTGCCACTCATTCAAATACAATCCAGATACGATCCATATTCAGATGTCATTCTGTCACTCATTCAAATACAGTCTAGATACGATCCCAATTCGGATGTAATTCTGTCACTCATTCAAATACAGTCCAGATACGATCCAGATTCGGATGTCATTTTGTCACTCATTCAAATACAGTCCAGATACGATCCAGATCCGGATGTCATTCTGTCACTCATTCAAATACAGTCCAAATACAATCTCGATTCATATGTCATTTTGTCACTCATTCAAATACAGTCCAGATATGATCCAGATTCAGATGTCATTCTGACGCTCATTTAATACATTTCACAGATACGAGTCAGATACAATTCATTTATGGATATTATTCTGATACTCATCCCACTGACTCATCATGAAGCAGCCCTACACAGGCCCATCATAAATTGAATAATATCCAAAACCTCTACTGGTTCAGTGTAAATCTCTCAACGGTTTATCCTGATTCTCTCTGGTAGACTTTTTCTCTGGTTTAGATAAATCGCTCCAAGGTTTATTCAGATTCTTTTCAATTAAAGAAAATTCAAGACCTCTACTGGTTCAGTTTAAATCTCTCAATGGTTTATCCCAATTCTTCCTGGTAGACATCTTCTCTGGGTCAGATAAGTCGCTCCAAGATTTATTCGGATTTCTTCTCCAGTTGAAGTCAGAATTTAGACTTAGTCTAATTTCTGTCAATAATCACTCTGGATGGCATCTTTAAGCCTATCTCCAACAACTATCCATGATTTCTCCAAATGGCATCTATAATCCCAGTCCCTACATAATCAACTAACACACCTTCGGGTGCAAATTTTCTAGGCACTCTAGTGTTCAATCATCTTCCACCTTCAAGTCATGAATGGCAGATTTACTAATCTAACTCTTCAGATGTAAGAAGATTGAACATGGGCAGCTGTTGTACCCCAAAATTTTCCCTCTCATTTCTCAAAGGATCACCCTGGACCCTCAGGTTTGCTTCCATCCAATTCCAAGCCTTGAATTATCAATTTTCCAAGAAAGTCATTCACAAGGGCAAAATGGTCATTTGCACACTGAAAAGTCAAACTTTGACTTTTGGATCAAAATCAAGCTTCAAGAATCATATTTCATCAAGACATGTTTGAATGTGAGATTTTGTTTCGTCAAGAAATTCAAAAGTCAAAATTACTTTGGAAAAGTTAAAATTCTAAAATACTTAGAATTTTTCTAAGTGTTTAAGAAACATGACAAACTCAGAACTTCTGACCAGATTCTCACCATGATGCAAGCTGGTTCTGGAAGAACTTCTGACGCAAGAGTTTTGGATCTCAACAAGATTTGAAACATTGCAGAATAGAACTTCTCCTAGAAATGCTGCGATTTCATGTTATAATTTCTCAAAGACACGTCCTCGAAACTGAAACACCCAGCAAATTCTGAACACTCTCAAAACAGAGTTTGGTCAGAACTTCTGGACCAGTTTTCACAAAGGTTCAGTCAGAGTTTGCAAAGGTAAATCAAAGAAGGTTACAAAGCGTGCTGCAAGCTTACTGGAAAGTCTGGAAACTCCTTCAGAACATGTTGGAGCCAGAAGATACAAAGATCAGAGGTTGGATGCTACGTTGAAGCAGAACTTCTGATCCAGAACTAAGACATGGTGTAGAATCTCACATTGCATGATTTTTGGTTGTGATAAGTCTCATCATCATTTAATGCTCACAACCACTTTCTAAGTCTTTATCCAAAGGATTTTCACCACGTGTACCTCTACTGTCTTGGGATAGCAAACTTTGGTACTAGGCTCATGCTTTGCTTTTCACTTTTCCTTAATTCCTGCTGACAACCACCATGCTTGTTTCAAGAACAAGGAAGAACTTTAGCATATGGAGGCTATGTTCAAAGCTTTGTTCAGAACTTGACCAAATCCCAAAACCTTGTTTATAAAACCCGCTGCAGACCTATAACCAACAACTAATTCAGCCTACGCCTGCATCCCATAATTGCACCAAACTAGCATACGAAAACAGTGATGAAAAAGCAAGGGAGCAGGATGCCAAATTGATTTAAAATCCCATTTGTCTTTCCCCCCAAAATCACAACAAATTCACCTATAAATACTTTTCTCCATCACACGTTCAAGTGGCTGGTTTTTAGAGAGAGGCTGGCTTTTGGAAAGAGAGAACTATCAAAAGAGAAAAGAAATTTGTGAAACCTTCATAAAAATCCAGAAATCCCAAATAGAAAACAAAACCTTTGTTCTTACTCTTGAATCAAATAACTACGCATTTTCTCTTCCGTTACTCTTGCTGATTCTAGAACATCCAAAGGCAGCAACTCAAAGCTCCAAGCCCACGCTCCAGGTTCAAGGTAAGTCTTTCTGACTTTGCTTGTTTTTTTCATTCTAAACATCATTAACATGTAAATATCATAATATTAATGTTGTCCATATCATTGCATAAGTAGAAAAACTATGGATCAGAGTTTCTTGATTAGGGTAGACTCATATTTAGATTTAGAACTTCTATAAACTGTTGTGCTGTTATCCTTCTGATTTACTGTTTAAAAAGAACTGAATAAATTGTTGATGTGTTGATTAAGAGTTTAAATATGGCATAGAACTTATGTTTTTCACTCACCATTTTAACACACAGAACTTCTAGGATTTTCTCACTGTTTAAGCAGGCAAAACTTCTGAGTTCTCTTCACTATTTTAACACACAGAACTTCTATGATTTTTCTCACTGTTAACACACACTGAATTTCTGATGCTTACATGCTGATAATATACTAAACTACTAATGTTCACTTACTGGCTCAACACAATTCAGAACTTCTGATGATTCACTCATTATTCTAACACAGCACAGAACTTCTGAGTTCTCCTTACATGTCAAATACATTGAACTTCTGATGTTTCCACTCGCTGTTTTCAAACACTCAGAGTTTCTAATTTTTACATGTTGATAACGCACAGAATTGTTGACGTTTACTCACAGTTTTAGTGTAATACAGAACTTCTGACTTCTCGCCCACTGTCTGAATACCACCCAGAACTTTTGTGCTTTCCCTCTAACGTGTCTTGCAGGACCTCAGAGTGTACCAATCCAGAACTTCTGATTCCACTGACGTTCCTTTCTGAGTCATCACGCGCCTGGCTTCAGAACTTTTGATCCTTGTTGTTTTCCTTGCAGAAGCGCGCTGTTTCTTTCCTCCATTTATTTTTCTTTTCATCATTTTTAATATTAACATAAAAAGACATAAACATATTTTTCTTTTATTAATTTATTTCTTTTTCATTAAAGATAAAAAACCATTTTCTAAACAAGTCCTTTTTTTTCTTTCTTATATTGTATATTTCAATATGGTTGTAATAGTAACTTAGGATTTAATTTTATTTGCAACCCCCATTTGTAAATATGTACCCTCGTCCCTAAAATATTATAATAGCGTAGGACTTTACATTTCTGCAATTTATCGCTTTCGAATGTAAATGCTAGTAATTAGGGTGTGTATAGAAAGACATAAAATTGACTAATATATCACCCTAATCAAGACTAAATGCATACAATCAAACACCCTTTGCACACATGCACCCTTAGGGTAATCTCACTTGTTGCCTATCGGAAAATAGTCATGTCCCTCGAACATGGACGTTTTAGCAAAGACCCTCGATAAGAGATCGTAGTCCCTCGATGACCCTCAATGTTGCCTTCGGTAAACGATCTACTCCCTAAAAAATGATATTGCTAAAATGTTCCATAGGTTGCCTTCTATGACTATACAAACGTCCCAACGTCCGTCCCTTCACATCCAACGATGAGGCTTCTTACCAAATCAATGGTAAGATAGCAACATCTAAAGGGAGGAGGAAAAACACCTAAGACCTTCTGAGTAGGTAGAATGATCTTAATTACTTGCTCAATTTCAAAACAAACATCCTTGCTATTTTCATAAACAAACACTTTCAAAAACACTTTCAAAACATTTTCCAAGCATGGAATATTTTCAAAAGCTCAACACTTTGTATACGTTCTTACGAATGAGAACTATTATAAAGTTTGCCTAAATGATGGCGCCTTTTCAAAATACTTTCAAAAACCATGCAAAGCACATATTTTCAAACAAAAGCAAGTGATCTAGCAAGTAACTAAGAGCCCATGGAAAACCATGGATGAAAAGGGTGCTAATACCTTCCCTTTTCATAATCTACCCCCCGAACTCAAGAAAACATCTCTAAAGGTCTTTCCTGTGCTTTTTCACATTTCCTTTTGGATAAAAGAAAAGTCGGTGGCGACTCTTGCTAAACTGCAACATTTGTAAATATAAACACAAAACACCCAAGTCAGTTCTCCCACTGCATCCCAGAACGCGTACATCTTAACAAAACATGCTCATAAATAAAGCAGCTGGACACGAGTTCACAAAGGACTTAAGGTTATTTACTCTTTAAGAAAATATTTTTTACCGCTCTTTATTGCAGGGCTTAAAATTGAACCATGGCATTCTTCACCTCTTAATCGCCAAAAAATTGCGATTAAAAAGAGCACAACATGAAACTGAAAAGCAAAAGAATGCAAAAAGTAAAAATATAAATAAATATGAATATTGTTTATAAGCTAAGGCCCAAAATACCAATAAAATCTTATAGGAACAAAACAAAAACAGAAGAAAATGGGGCAAAAAATGTCCTCTCTAAGAACAACTCATAAAGGATCTAGTTGGTCAGTGGTGACAAAAAGGCTGAGACAAAATCCTTGCGCCTACTCCAATGTCTGATCTCGAAATCGGTACATGGTATCCAAGCCTATTAGAGGGACACCCGAGATTTCTATCGTGCAACAACTAGATCTTCCCAAAGGCCCTTCAAATATTTTGCCCAATCATTGTCCTTATGTTGAAGAGCTTTCTGATCCACTTTGAATCTAGGACATGCCTCTTCCATATCTTCATAAGCCTTCTTCCAACGTTTCTCTCCCTCAGTATCCGAGCAGCTAAAATTGATGGAGAACTGTATTGATCCATCTCTTCCTGCAAAGAGTCAGTAATCTCGCCTTTTTCCTGCAGCTCAGACAAATATTTCTCAGCCATGAATTCTCCCCTTCAAGGGTCTCTCACTTTTCCTTTAGCTCATCCCACTCCCTAGAAACGCCGCTAGATCTCAACATGTCGTCTTTGCCAGTAGTCACCATAGAAACAAGGGATGCGCCATGAACAAGGTATGTGAACCACACCTATCAACTGCAAATAAACTCTAAATGAAAGTTAGGTCCTTGGTGGCCACGACAACAACAAATTCCTCTAGGGTGCTAGATACCCGAGATGAAAAGTACCAGGAAGCCAAAATAAAGGAGTAAGAGCCTCCGACTAGCACCCTTTAACAGAAGAGCCCATTTGGAAGAACCTCCTTCAACATGAGTGGATGGGCTATCACCCTGAATCCTCTTGATAAGAGAAATAAATGATGAAGACTCACAAATAAAGAAGTTGACTGCCGTAGTGGTCATCTTTTCCACCTCAGGAGTTATGCCTAGGGTAGTAGTCACAACTACTTATGGGGGAGCAACTACAACCGGGTCCAGAACCATCGAGTCAGAAGTAACTGCAACATCTAGAGTCTCCATCACTCGGCCAAATAAGCCAATCGTAAAACCCTGATCTTGGGTGAACATGAGAACCTTCTCCAAATGATCCATGTTATCTGCAAGACATATGTTACACTTGTTAAAAAAAAAGGGTGCCCATGTGTCGTGGCAGGAAAAAATTGAGAATAAGCTATTGATTAACTTATCTCAGCAAAAAGCAAGAGTTACCACCGAACTTTATTATTTCCAAAGGAATGGGAAAATATCGAATAAAACCCATAAAAACATGCAAAGCAAAAAGCAAGTGAAAAAGAAAAGCAAGAAATAAAGCACAAAGAGAACATGGTATAGGGGTTTTCTATGCAAAGGGAAGGTATTAGCACCCTAAATATCTACGGTATTATGGAGGAACCTCTTGAAAATTTGTGTATTTGGCTAAAAATGGTTGTTTGCAATATAGCTGGAGAGATGAGAAAAATAAATGGTTTTTATGATTTTGATTCGGAAAAACTTAGAGAGTTATATGCCTACGTATCACCCATGTGCAATGGAGAAATCAGAACCACGTAGTTCTTCTAAAAAAGAATAAAACTTGGTGTGTTATTTGATTTTAAATGAAAAGATAAGTTGTCATTTTTAGGAGAAAACTCGACTAATCATCCATAAAGTATGAAAAAATGGACAATGCATCACATGAGAGAGAACTTACACTTGGATAAGATCAACGAGTGCCTCAAGCTCTCAAGTGGAAAAGTCAACATTTCTACAACATGGCCATGGAATAAGAGAATGACATCTCAAATATGCACTCCAATAACATGTCACATTCATACATCAGTTACCAAATGTCATAGCATATGCATACGAAACGCATATAGCACAATCTCATTTATTTTGAGAACATCATTATGAAATGAATTTCATACATCATGACATGGAATGCAATTAACTCTTTACCTTTTCAGGAAATATCAATCAATCAACAAACATTATCAACTATTTATACGACCTAACAGTCTTCTCAAAGGCTACATCTGACAAAAAGTTATTTCAGTAGTTTCCTCAGAAGGTCATTATCAAAAAGACCTCTTCTGGTATGGGTTCATCTCTTCCAATTAATAATAGGAAAAAGACCTCTTCGGATATGGGTTCATCTCTTCCAGTTAATGATAGGTGAAAGACCTCTTTTGATATGGGTTCATCTTTTCCAATTAATGACATGTGAAAGACCTCTTATGGTATGGATTTATTCTCCCAGTTAATAACAGGCGAAATACCTCTTCCGGTATGGGTTCATCTCTTGCAGTTAATGACAGGTGAAAGACCTCTTCTGGTATGGGTTCATCTCCTCCAGTTAATGACAGGTGAAAGACCTCTTCTGGTATGGATTTATTCTCCCATTTAATAACAGGCGAAGGACATCTTCTGGTATGGGTTCATCTCTTCCGATTAATGACAGGTGAAAGACCTCTTCTGGTATGGGTTCATCTCTTCCAATTAATGACAGGAAAAATACCTCTTATGGTATGGATTTATTCTCCCAGTTAATAACAAGCGAAAGACCTCTTCTGGTATGGGTTAATCTCTTCCAGTTAATGACAAGAGAAATACCTCCTCTGGTATGGGTTCATCTCTTCCAGTTAATGACAAGCGAAAGACCATCTTCTGGTATGGGTTCATCTCTTCCAGTTAATGACAGGAGAAAGACCTCTTCTAGCATGGATTTATTCTTCCAGTTAATCATAGGCGAAAGACCTCTTCTATTTCAGATTAAATCGACCAAAGATTTATTCTGATACTTCTTCAAGTTGAAGTCAACAGTTATTTTAGATGGCATCTATAAGCCCATTTCTGACAACTCTCTGTCACTTCTCCAAATGGCATCTATAACCCCATTTTTGGTATACTCAACTAACAATGTTACTTCTTGCACAAGCGAGTGCAAATTTCTGGGCACTTAGGTGTTCCATCATCTTCAACCTTCGAGTCACGAATGGCAGACACGCCAATCTAACTCTTCAGGTATAAGAAGATTGAACATGGACAGCTATTGTACCCCAAAATTTTCCCTCTTATTTTTCTCATGGCATTCTTTCAAGGCTCTTCAAGTAGTCAAGACACTCAAGGGTTGACTAGTCAAGATGCACCTCATAAACCAAAGGCCTATAACTAGGGTTTGGAGTTTATCAAGGAAATTTGGTTTGAAAAGGTCCCAAGTGTATTCCATGGTTCTTCATAGGTCCTCAACAAGGTACATGTCAAGTTTCAATCCCTACATCACAAGTTTGCTCAGTCAATGACTCAGATGATTGAAAGTCAATTGTATTGACCAAAAAGTCAAATGTGATCAACATACAGTCAAAATTCAATATTTTTGGTCAACATCAACATTTTGAAGTGATATTCGTCATTTTATCAAGGATTGATCATGATTCCCCAAGGAAAGCTCTTAAATCATCAAAATTCAAGATTTGTCAAATTAGGGTTTCTTTAGGAGAAGTCAACTGAATTTTGACCAGACATAATTTTCACATGCTTCATCAACTTTTCCCCAACCAAAGCCCATTTTGAATAAAATTAAATTATCTACAGCTTTGCTTTTATTCTCAAGTCAAAAAAATGTTTCATTTGAAAGATATGAGCTAAAATATTATAGGTCATTTTCAAAAGTCAACAAAAGACACTTTTTGTCAAGGCAACTTACATCAAGATAATGTCTTCAAAAGAAAAAATGATAAATAATAGATTTTAGAGGACATATTGAGCTTTCTAAAAGGTCCAAGATCATCTTCAAAAGTTTAAAATTGATCAAGTTATGAGTTGCACAAAATGGGGAATTTTGAAGAAATTCATGAAGGGCAAATTGAGCAAAATTGTAATTTTGAACCAATGAGCCTACTTTTTGGACTTCTAACGTGTCCATAACATCTTAGAGGACCTTTAAATACATTGACACATGGATTTGATTTTTATTTATGTTTATCTTAATTTTATTTAATTTAAAATAAGATAAATTAAATAAAATCATAAGAAAACACGGGCTAATGCACGGGGGCTTCATTTGGATCATTCAAGACCCCAATAATTCGTGTTATCCCACCAGCTAATTGTATAGGTTCATGCGAAAAAATAATTGGCAAGAATCATTCAAATACGGCCAACTTTCAATATGTTGGATTTTTTGTCTCACGGACTTGAAAGCTTTGATTTCTTGCCATACTTGCTCCTCATTTCCCTCTATATAAAGCACTACAAGGCAGGCCAAAAAGGACACCCATAAGTTGAATAACAAAGCTCTACCAAATTCTCTAAAAATTGTTCAAAGTTGTAAAACTTGAAACCCAACTTCTAGCTATCTTCGATCCAAACCAAGTGTCACAACGTGTTCCTGAGACACCCAGGAGTGTATACCAACCCTTTTAATCGCTTGAAGCACCCTAGAACAGGTAAACCACGTCGCTCCGGTTAGGTAAAATTCTCATGTCTGAATCTTTTAACTCATGTAATTTAAATAGATTTTATGTGTGGATCCATGCTCATGTTGTTGTTTAAAATGGTTTTAACATAGCACATGTAAGGTTTACGACATGAATCAAAGAACACCATTGTTAGGGAAGCTTGCGACATTTTGGTCATATCTCCCTGTACAAGAACTTTCAGGATAAACTAACACCATATTTGAACTCGTAGCATGTGATTTAGGGGGGGTAGGTCCAAGGATTCGAGTTGTTGTTTCTGTTTTGCAAGTTTTCGTTTTTTTTATTGATCGGAGAAGACGACCGGAGTTTGACTTCGGCGTCTCTGACCTTCGCTGACTCCGGCCAATGCTCGCGTGGCTGAAAGAAATAACGTGATTGGCCAATTCAAACACCAGGTCCCCATCTGGGCGCACACACTTTTGTTTAAATAATTTTGAAGCTGGATTCGTAATATAATATTATCATGTTATTATATTAACGAATGAACAGAATGGCCTGGTGGTAAAACGCGCGTATGTAAAGCTTAAGAGCTTGGGTTCGATCCCCAGGTTTTGCATGTTTTTTCAATATTTTCTATTTTCAGATATAGTGCAGGTTAGATATGTATGCTCATCATGTACCACCATATATGGACCATCAGATTCCAATGGATGTAGAGCCAACTCCTCAGGCATGCGTTCCCACCATGGATCTTCAAGGGTTGTTCACACCAGATCAAGCGCAAGTGTTGGGTCCTGGTCAAGTTGGGCCTAACGATTTTCAAATTCTCACCCCCTATTTACTTATTTTGCAGCTTGGCCCAATTTACCTTTTTTTGTCTTTCCTTTTCTTTCTTTTATTATTTATTTTCCTTTATTTCAATTAATTCTATTTTTAAATCATAAAAATCATAAAATTAAAAATCACAAAAATAATAGACTTAGGTTTTATTAATTAAATTAATTTTTAATTAATTATTTTTAATCATTTTCTTTTCTTAATTAATTAGAATTTAGGTTTCCATAAATTTAATTTAATTATTTTTCTAACCAAAAAATGCAAAAAAACAACAAAAAATTTCTTTTATCACTTAGAAATTTCTAGGGCTTTATCTTCTCCTTGCGTTTATTTATTTTACTCGCGTTTATTTTCACAAATATAATGTAACTGTGCAAAGGGTTGTAATAGCTTAATTTAGGACATTTACTTTTATTTTCCCATTTTTTGGTTTGTAATTCGCCCCATCCTGAAGCATTTTAACAGCGTAGATTCAAATTCCTGCACTTTATTTCTATACTTATATACAATTAACTTCTAGATGTATGTAATAGGCTTGCATGACAAGACCTAAAAACAAACGCTAGAAAACCAAACATTCAAATATAAATAACTGAAACACAACACACTCCACACACGCGCACCTCTAAGTTACCTCCACTTGTTGCCTTTGAAAAACAATCATGT